GGGGATCGGGGGGGGGTCGGGATCCCGCAGATCCGGGCGGGAATTACCAGGAATCCCGGGAATCCTCACCGGGAACCCCGGGAATCATCACCGGGAATTCTCACCGGGAATCTCCGGGAACGCCGGGAATGGGGGTCCCGCTGTCCCGGGGGTGTCCCCGAGGGGCTCCGCCCTAACAGCGCTGCTGGCAGCGGGGACGTGGCCGTGGTGGCACTGGGGACACGCCGTGATCCCGGGAATCTTCATCCTCATCATCCTCCTCCCCATCCCAGCAGGAGCTGCCCAACCCCACAAGGAACCCCCAAAATCCCAGCGCGGGGGAGCCTCTGGATTCTCCTGAAAAACCGCCCCAAAAATCCCTGCGGGGACCCTCCGTGTCCTCTCGGTGTCCCCGGTCCTTCCGTGTCCTCCCGCTGTCCCCCGGTGTCGCCGCGTGCAGGAGTGACAACGACGGCGACAAAAAAACGGGGACGGAGCCGCTCCAGCGCCGGGGGTGGCGTGTCCGGGGGTGGCTGGGGACCGGCCGTGCCTGTCCCCGCTGTCCCTGGGGGTTGGGGACCCGATGTGACATGTTCGGGGTCCAGAGACCACGTGTGGCATGTCCAGTGTGGCATGTCCGGGCTTGGGGACCAGGTGTGACATGTCCGGGCTTGGGGACCGGCCGTGCCGTGTCCCCGCTGTCCCTGGGGCTTGGGGACCGGCCGTTTCTTTCTTATTCTTAATTTTTCCCCCATTTCCCCCCCTCCCCAATTTCCCCATTTTTCCCTCATTTGTCCCCATTTTTCCTTTTTTATTTTCTTTCATTCTTTCTTATTCTTAATTTTTCCCCCATTTCCCCCCCTCCCCAATTTCCCCATTTTTCCCTCATTTGTCCCCATTTTTCCTTTTTTATTTTCTTTCATTCTTTCTTATTCTTAATTTTTCCCCCATTTCCCCCCCTCCCCAATTTCCCCATTTTTCCCTCATTTGTCCCCATTTTTCCTTTTTTATTTTCTTTCATTCTTTCTTATTCTTAATTTTTCCCCCAAATTTCCCCCCCCCCCTTCCCCCAATTCCCCAATTTTTCCCTCATCTGTCCCCGTTTTTCCTTTCTTATTTTCTTTTCCCACAGATTTTCCCCCCTTTCGTGGGACTGGGGGCTTCAGAGGGGATGTGGGAGCGATTTTGGGGAGGGGGGGAAAGGTCAAATGGGGAGAAATTGGGGAAAAAAGGAGGGATTCGGGGTGGAAAAAGGGAGAAACTATAGGATTTGGGGGGAAATGGGAAATGGGATGGGAATGGGGGGATTTAGGGTGGAAATTTGAGGATTTAGGGAAAATAGAGTGGGAATGGAGGATTTGGTGGAAAATGGGAGGATTTAGGGGGAAATGAGATGGGAATTTAAGGATTTAGGGGAAAACGGGGTGGAAATGGGGGGATTTTGGGGAAATTGAATGGGAATTTAAGGATTTAGGGGGAAATGGGGTGGAAATGGGGTGGAAATGGGGGGATTTAGGGAAAATGGGGTGGGAATAGGGGGGACAACCCTGAGAGAGGGGACAGCCCCCAGGGCCAGGCCAGCGGGGACAGCCTTGTGAAAAACTCCAATCCCTCGCTTCTAAATTTTTAAAAGCTGAATAGTAAAAAAAAAAAAAAAAAAAAAAAAAAAAAAAAAAAAAAAAAAAAAAAAAAAAAAAAAAAAAAAAAAATTGTTCTAAAAATAGGAATAAAATTAGAGGAATACAAATTTGGACAGCTGGGATTTAGGACAATATGAGACAATAAAACCAGAGAGTTCCGGATGGTCCGGGTGCCTCTTTGTGGGTGAAAAAAAACCGAAAAAGGAGACACAGGAGATTTGGGGGGTTTGGGACAGCCCAGCGCTGCTCTGCGCCGCAGCCATCCCAAAATTCCTGATTTTTTACCCCATTTCCAATAAATCCCGGCCAGACCCGCCCCGCTCTCGCTGCTGGGGACACCGAGCTCCGGGCTGGGGACACACGGGAACCTCAGCGGTCGCCGAGGCCACCCCGGCTTGTCCCCGCAGCTGGGGCAGAGCTGTCCCCTGCCCAGCACAAACAAAAACTATTCTGGGCCGTGACCCGCCACAAACCTCTGCCCACGCGCGACAATTACGGTGTCACCAGCAGCGCCACCGCCACATCCCGGCACGGCCACGGCCGGAGCGGGTCCGCCTGTCCCCGACCGTCCTTTCTGTCCCCTCCTGTCCCCTTCGGTCCCCTCGTGTCCATTCCTGTCCCCTGCTGTCCCTTGTGTCCCCGCCTGTCACCTGCTGTCCCCTCTGTCCCCTTCGGTCCCCTCCTGTCCTCTCTGTCCCCTCCGGTCCCCTCCTGTCCATTCCTGTCCCCTGCTGCCCCCTCTGCCCCCGCCTGTCCCCTCCTGTCCTGTCTGTCCCCTCCTGTCCCCTTCGGTCCCCTCGTGTCCATTCCTGTCCCCTGCTGTCCCTTGTTGTCCCCGCCTGTCCCCTCTGTCCCCTCTATCCTCGCCTGTCCCCTCCGGTCCCCTGCTGTCCTCTCTGTCCCCTCTGTCCCCTCCTGTCCATTCCTGTCCCCTGCTGTCCCTTCTGCCCCCGACTGTCCCCTCCTGCCCCCTCTGTCCCCTCCTGTCCGCTTCGGTCCCCTTCGGTCCCCTGCTGTCCATTCCTGTCCCCTCCTGTCCTCTCTGTCCCCTCCTGTCCCCCTCGGTCCCCTCCCGTCCATTCCTGTCCCCTCCTGTCCCCTGCTGTCCCCTCTGCCCCCGCCTGTCCCCGCCTGTCCCCTGCTGTCCCGTGTGTCCCCTGCTGTCCCCTCTGTCCCCTCCGGCATGGACCCCGCGGTGCCCAAGGCCACGCTGAAGGTGCTGGCGCTGTGCGCGGCGCTGCTGGTGCTGGTGGCGGCGGTGACAGTGGCGGTGGCGGTGTCGCTGTGGCGCTCCGAGGCGCTGGGGCAGCTGCGGGGCTGCCGGGAGCGGGCGGCCAACGAGAGCCGGGAGCTCGGGACCCGCCTGGCCGAGCTGGAACGGGACCGGGAGCGGCTGCGGAGCCACGGGGACACGCTGCGCCGGGAGCTGGCACGGGCGCGAGGGGACAGCGGCAGGGACAATGCCAGCCTCGCGTCCTGCCGGCAGCGCGAGGTAGGTGGCCCGAGGGATGGGGACAAATCTCACCCAGGGGGACAAATCTCTTGTCCCCGTAGGTGGCCCGAGGGATGGGGACAAATCTCTTGTCCCCCGTAGGTGGCCTGGGGGATGGGGACAAATCTCACCCATGGGGACAAATCTCTTGTCCCTGTAAGTGGCCCGAGGGATGGGGACAAATCTCTTGTCCCCACAGGCGGCCCGAGGGATGGGGACAAATCTCTTGTCCCCACAGGCGGCCCGAGGGATGGGGACAAATCTCTTGTCCCCACAGGCGGCCCGAGGGATGGGGACAAATCTCTTGTCCCCACAGGCGGCCCGAGGGATGGGGACAAATCTCACCCAGGGGGACAAATCTCTTGTCCCCGTAGGTGGCCCGAAGGATGGGGACAAATCTCTTGTCCCCACAGGTGGCCCGGGGGATGGGGACAAATCTCTTGTCCCCATAAGAGGCCCGAGGGATGGGGACAAATCTCTTGTGCCCACAGGTGGCCAGAGGGATGGGGACAAATCTCTTGTCCCCATAGGTGGCCCGAGGGATGGGGACAAATCTCTTGTCCCCATAGGTGGCCGGGAGATGGGGACAAGGAGGTGTTTGGTCATTTTAGGGTGGAAAAGGGGATGGGGACAACAGCCTCTGTCCCCTCAGCAGCCTCTCACACCTGTCCTCTGTCCCAGTAGGTGGCCAGGAGATGGGGACAAGGAGGTGCTTGGTCACTTTGGGGTGGCAAACAGGATGGGGACAACACCTCCTGTCCCCTCAGTAGAGTCCCCTGTCCCCACTGGTGGCCCCAGAAATGGGGACAAGAAGGTGCTTGGTCACTTTAGGGTGGAAAAGGGGATGGGGACACCTCCTGTCCCCTCAGCAGAGTCCCCTGTCCCCACTGGCCGGAGAAATGGGGACAAGGAGGTGCTTGGTCACTTTGGGGTGGCAGAGAGGGCGGGGACAGCACTCCCTGTCCCCTCAGCAGTGTCCCCTGTCCCTCCCTCCCTGGCCAGCAGCCAAGCCCGGGGGCTGCTCCCTC